GGCTTTAAAAAAGGCGGAATTATTCCTTTTAATCGTCACGTCATCCCTGAAACATCATTTCCACCCTGCTTGCTTAATAAGTGGAAGATGATAAAACATTCTAGATTATCTGTACACGAAAATGGTAATGAAGTATTGGTACCAACTAAAGTAACTCAAGAAGTGTTTTATCAAAACAAAGAACCTACGCCTGATGCTCTAATTGAAACTACCACTTCCGACAAAGTAAAAAATATCTCTGCCAGAGTCGACGAACTTGAATCAATTCCATGTACAAGTTTAACTGAAAATAAGAATGTAACATTTGAAGATTTATTGTTATCAACAGTAAATCAACTTCCAAACGTCCCAACCAAAAATAAAAAACGGTTATGCCTTGGATCTGAAGTATTGACATCACAACAAGCTATTGATGTTTTAAAACAGAAATCTCACAAAAAAGGAAACGGTACTAAAATTTATAAGATAACTAAGGCAAAGCCCAAAAAAAGAAATAAACGAGAGTCATTATCATTTAGTAGCAGCAAAGACTTTGAGTCAATGTCTCCAATATTCATGGATCCGGAGCCGGAGGTAGAAATAGCTGCAAATGATGACGAGGAAGACAAAGAGAATTTGAATTCAACAAAAAGTGTGAATGTGTATGTCAGATGTTGGGTATTGGTAAAGTATTGCCCAAAAAAGATAAACAAGCATTATGTGGGAACTGTATCAGAAAAGATGAATGATGAGTGGATAGTTAAATTTACACGACCTCAAGGAAACAAATTTGTATGGTCAATAAATCCTGACATCAATACTGTACTACAACAGGATATTATAAAAGTACTACCAGATCCTATCGTCGACATATCGTTACCCAAGTTCAAAACGGAAACAATTTAAAATAACTACTTTTGAGAAAATGGCTAATAACTAAAATCGCTCAGCTACGACCACGTTTTATTGAGATAACCAATTATTTGAAGACTAGTATTTTTTGCAATTCTAATGTGGTTTTAGTAGATGGTTACATCATAAGTGTGTTTTTTATTTCCTTTCTACCTAATTAAAAGAAAAAAAAACAAATCTTTTAAATTTCATGTTAGTTCTGTTTTGAAATAAAAAATGGAAAAAAATTGATGTTGTTTCTAAACTAGGAAATAAAAAATAGTATAACTTAAACATTTTATTCCAATTTTAAACATAATTAAAATTAAATACTAGATATCTTTCACTTTTTCACACTCGTCACAATCACTATCATTATTTGGTGGAATATTTTTTTTGTGTTTTTTTGTATTTTCCTGCTCCAACAAATTTCTGTAGAAATCCCAGTGTACCTTAGGAATAGCTTTGAGCTCACAAAGTTCTAGTAATCCTTTCTTAAGGTTAGATGGAATAAGAATAGGTCCGGTATAAAGTTGAGATAAACTAGGTACTGATTTATTTCTTGGAGACTTAAATTTTATATTGATTGATTTGTATTCAGCATCAGAATAAGATGTCTTGTAAAAAAGAATATAAGGGTTATTTTTTTTGACCATAACAATTTTAATGTCAGTCCACAGAACTTTTTCTAGTTGTTCGTTTATATTATAATTGTTTCCCAAAGAGGATGTCAGTTTTTTTAGGTCCAGAAATTCCTCAGTCGTCATGTCTTTAATTTTATAAGGATGGCCGGTCTTTTTGGCTAATTCTATTATAGTACTCCATTGAGCAGGCACATAAATCGGGCTGGCCTTAAGCTTTCTTTTTTTCTCCCTTTCTATTAAGGAATGCATATTGTCCCCTTCGTTTTGGGTATGCCCAGCTATTAAAAATTTGTGTGTAATGGATTCAATTTTTGTCATAGACTGCACACAGTACATGTACATTGCAATAATAAATTTATTTTTATTTTGCCCACTGCAATTATCACTGTAAAAAGTAATATCTTTTACCTGGTTCTCATTTTGCTCTTTTAGAAAATAATATACACAACTTCCTATTTCATTTGCACCTCGTTGAGCAATGGTCTGGTTCCAAAAATAGCAGAAACCCTTTTTTTGTCCAATGTCATACACGGTGAGGTTATAACAAGATAAACGACTTTTATAAAAAAAATGTGAAACCTCTCCACAAGGTACACTTAATACAGACTGTAAGTCATAAACCGCAACTATTTGATCAGTCGAGGAAACAGCTTTTGACACATCTTCAGCTTTTTCTTTTCTACTTGCCTCTTTTTCTAATTGATGATTTTCGTAGTTCATTTTTAAATTTTCTTTCTCTTCTCCCGTAGCGGTATTAAAGCTATGACATAGGGCACATTGGTCCTTTTTTGGTTGAAAAAAACTTATATTGAATTCTGTAGAAAAAATTGTGGAGTACATGTTATACTTTCCATAAGGTTTTTGTAGTATTTCACATTGTTCTTTATATAATCTGTACATAGTGGACAGGTTAAGACTTCCATCGATATATTTTTTGGCAGTTCTTGAACGACAGAAATGTGATTCTATTAAGGGAAATGAGTTTATGTGTTCACGTATGTCGGCTTTTATCTGTGGATTAATAGCCCTTCCCATGTGTCCATGTTTGCCACGTTTATCCTTTTCCAGAAATCCATCCTGAGATTTTTTTTTCGTAACGGTAAAAATCATTTTTGAACTAACGTTTAGTGTACCCATAAAAAATGTCTTACAAACTACGATTTTATTTCCATTGATAGAAAATGTATAAACGAAATTGTATGACCTTTTTCGTTCAGGCAGCTTTTTTTGGTATTTTGTTTTTAACTCAGACATGTGCCTTAAAATAAACTCTCTTTGGTCATTAATATTGCCCATTTTCCAAAAACTGTTGTGTATTTCTTGACGTATTTCGTTATTAATTTTTTCGCTGCATTTGAATCTGCATTTGGGCCCACAAGCTGATTGAACACTTCTTGCTGCAATTATTTTACCTTTTTTTGTTGTGAAACTTTTTCCTAGATTTCTTTTTTTCTTTAACACATTCTTCTCCCAATTGTCTGGATTTCTAGATCTTTTTTTTGTGAGAATTTTCTCACTCAGTTCAGTTTCTTCAACCATTTCTTCTGTTTCAGCAACTTTTTCGTGATAGTTCTCAGCTTCATTGTCACTAGAACTGGTATTTGCTCCATAAGTGTCGGGTACAATATAATCTTTATCTTTGCTTTCATCACCAACACTAGAATTTATTTCCTCATCGTCATTTTCTCTCTAAAATAATAATAAAAAAGCTAAATTATACTAAAATATTCAATTAATTTTTTTTTGCTTACCGGGTAGAAAGTTGATAAGTTTAAATAGGTTTTCTCTTGGCTTTTGTCAGCAGAGTCTTCATTAATATTTTCTTCAAAAATTGCAGCTGGTTCCTGAGTGTTTATCAACAAATCAAGCGCATTTTCATTACTATCTAATTCCACAGTAACACTACCATTTATCTCTTTAATAATATTGCAATTTTGTACCTAAAAAAAGTTAATGTAATAATGAATATGTTTTTTAACGCTTTTTAGAACAAATTCCTTACTTGGTCGTGTACAAATATTTCTCTCGATGGAAATTCAGGTATTGCAAGGAGAACGGATGGATAGCCACTGCTATTATTACTTTGGTCATTATATCCAACATTACCATCAACGTTAATTTCTACTACTATATTATCCGTATTAAGGTTTTTAGTAGTACCCTAAAACAATTTGAAAAACTTTTTATGTACCTATTATCAAAACAGAATGCTACTAGTTTACTACAGCTAACCGGCTTACCTCTTTCTGAAAAGTTACTTCATCCACTATTTGGTTTAATGGTTCATTTTCATCACTACTATTTAGTTCGCCAACTGCCAATAATGCCATTCTTTTACCTCTACCTATAGGCAACATTGTAATACTTATAAAACTTACGAAAATACACAAAATAACGGAACTAATATTGTTCTAAATAATTAAAAACATAAAGGTTAACAATTACTTTCAAACTGACATAACCTAAAAGAAACGTGACACAGGCTGGTTCAAAACTGAAATAATTTAACTTATTTCCTAACAGATGTCAGACAGCGCGTGACATTCAGTTCAAAACAGAAACAACTACGTTATTTCTGTTTTGAACCGACATTGTTAAAAAAGATTATAAAATCAAAAAGGAAATAGACACTTTTTAAGGAATGCATATGAATGTATGATTTATTTCTCTTTTGAAATAGGTAGATTATCATCCTAGCATAAATTTTACGGAAATAACTCATTTCAACAAAATTTTGAGTTGTTTCTGTTTTGAACTGGGGTAGCGATATGTGGAATGTACGAATTTTCAGGTACCTTTAAAGGCTTTAACATTCAAAATTAACTGAAAGAAAACTTGAAGTGTTTTTAATTTGATTTTATTTTTGTTTCTTTTGTTCTGACATTGTTTTCGAAAAGTTTAATTTCTTTTGTATTTTTTCAACAAAATAAATTCTAAAAAAACAAAAATAGAGAGCTTGAATTACATTTTTATACAATAACCCCATAGTATCAAATATAATATTTACTACAAAAATGTAAACTTTCTTCACATTTGCCCCGGTCCCTGGGGTAAATGTGATATATTGGTGATTTTAAAAAACAGCATGCAACATTAACAACACTAAAAATTATTTAATTTTTTTCGACACAATGAATACAAAACCATTCAAAAAGTATATGATTTTTTGGATAAATTTTTGAAACGTTTCTTTAGAGTGTTATATTAAATGAAAGTTGAACTAATCAAAAAGTAGATCACATTTACCCCACTTCACCTTAATTATTTCTTTAATCGTTTATCTGTTTGGTTTATTTTCGTTTATCTGGAAAACAAAAACGCTTATTTGTTGCGCAGTAAACGCACATTTCTGGTAATGTTCCTGTGGTAACAACCATCTATAGTTATTTTCTTGAGTTGAACTTGGTTTTCTAAATATTGTTTTGTTTTAGTTCTAAGATTTAATTACGTATGGATCTTTGGCGTTAAAACCGTATATCATAGCTACTAGGGATCTCTACTGTCATCTCTGATACTAAAATAATAAAAGTTATGGATTATTTTTATATTTATTTGTTTGTTAACTTATATTGTTAGTGCACATAACCTTAAAAATATAGTCTCCTCGTCTCTAAAAATTTTATTACTACTTATAAAAGTTCTCTGCAATGATCTAATAAAATTTTCTCTTAAGAAATTATTTGTTTTACTGTTACATAGGGATAATCAAGTCGACCGAGAAAAGTTCGTCCAAATTAGTGGCGGAGGTTATAATTGTCCGTTGTTTTGTTTTGTTTCGAGAGTAGTATGCTACATGTTTTGTTTACACGAACGGAAAAACAATGGCCCAGAATTTTAGAGAGAAGTGAAATTTTCCTCTTATTTATCTAGGTAGGTTTTTGGTTTTTATTCATTGTTTATGTAACGCCACAATAATAATACTCAAATGAATTATTTACAGCGAAATTTGTGTTTAAATCTACAGTAGATACTATTATAACGTAAGAAAACTATGAAAAATTTAAATTTATAAGAGATACGAATATATATTATATATAATATATATATATATATATATATATATATATATATATATATATATATATATATATATATATATATATATATATATATATTGCTGGCTTTGAGTGGTAACTCCATTTTACACTATAATTTTTTTAAATTTTAATATAAATCACTTTAATAATGCTACCTAAAGTCAAAATCAAAGCATAAATAATTTTCATATAGTTGGAAGTGAATCTATGATATTCTTGGTTCTTTTTCACTACTTAATATTAAAATAAAATATTACATGTACATTAGACCACATGTTCTGTTGCTGTGCTAATTATTTAATAAGTTGCTAAATGTTGTTAGTTAATTGATTGTTTATACAATATTACCGTATAATGTCCATTTACTTGAGTTTTCTCACATATTCGATAATATCATTGACTGCTACATGTCTTTTTAAGGTAACACTTATAACATCTTCTCCATGATTGTGTGGTTCTCATATTGTACTTTTTAGATGAACTGATGATGCTTTCAGAATACGAAAGCGTAACGTCTTCAAAATAGATAAAGTAGTCTATCAATTTTGTCTTTTATTTCTCCACCTTGAGACCGATATAAGAACCTACCACTCGTCTGAGTGATCCTTATAATATATATATATATTATATATATATATATATATATATATATATATATAATATATATATATGTCTGTATTTCTTTATATTCTTTTGCCTTAAATTTCTGTTAAGACCCACGTGAATATCAAAATCGTCTTTACTTTATGAAACGCCCGGTTTAGATACCGCGTCGTGTATTTTTTCTCGAGAAATACCTATTGAAGAGAAAATGACATTTATTTCCTTAGACGGAAATTGCGAATCCTAACCTCACAGAAACCGGGATTTTTAGAATTACATTTTTTGGTACATCTCTTCTAAATAGGTTTTCTGAGCGTGCCAAATACACTTAATTTTATAAATTCCAAAATCAGAAGGAGGCGTTTTTCTTGTGAAATAAAATGAAGTGTAAAAAAGGGAAAAATAGGAGTAGACAAGAAAAATAACGGCTTGCAGGTTAGGTTCAGTAAAAATTTAATGCTTAACTAGTTCTTTTTTTTATATTTTTCTAAAATTAAATTGTAAAATGGGCAAAATTGGGCTCATATTGTAGACGTGGCAGTACTACTGATCTAGAAGATATTAATATTATGTATTTTCTTTCTATATGTCTATATGTCATATGTTAAAAATTGTAAATTTATATCACAAAGAAATTTAAAGACAGAGATAACACTAGATAATTCAGAAGTAACTATATTAGTCACATATGGGCCTAATGACGACGAACCATTGAAAGTTAAAAAAGAATATTGGGAAGAGCTCAATGATCCTATAGAAAATGTGAAAGGTAGAATAGTTATTCTAGGCGATATGAATAGCAGAGTTGGTAAAAGAGACGATGATAACATAGATATTTTGGGTATACAGGGTGAAAATACACGAAACGATAATGGAAGAAAGATGATATACTTCTGCATGGAAAATAATTTGATTATAACCAACACATTTTGAACACAAGGATATACACAAGTTCACGAGAGAAGTCAGGAGCAGAAATGAAAAAGCAATTCTAAATTACGTTCTAATTAATAGAGCATTTAGGAAAGAGGTCACTGATGTCAGAGCTAAAAGGGACCCGGAAATCCATAGTGACCACTCTCTGGTAGTGGCAAAGATAAGATTACCCCAAAAAACACCTAAAACCACTAAACAAAAAACAAAAAATAATAAAGTGAACAAGAATATCCAAAACTATAAACTAAATGACAAAAAAGTCGCGGCCATGTTCAAAAGTAAAATAGAAGAAAAACTATCCAAATTATCTAATGCACATAGTACTGACAACTTACAGGAAACTTGGAAACAATTTAAAGAAACCATCGTGACGACGGCAAAAGAAACGTGTGGAATAAATCATGTAAACAGAAATAAGAAGCAAACACGATGGTGGGACGATGAACTAAAAGCCCAAATAAAATATAAAAAACAGAAATGGAAAATATACTTAAACAAAAAACAGAAAATAGTTACAAAGAATATAAACGACAAATAAAGGTGGTAAAAGAAATGGTGCTGGAGAAGAAGAAGGAAGCCTGGGATGAGTTTGAAATGAAGATGGAGGCAGATAGCCAGGGTAACCAAAAACTGTTCTAAAGGCACTAAAGACGCTAAGAAAAGGTAAAGAAACAACGATGAAATAGGTAAAACGTAAAGACGGCACGCTGATTATCAGACCAAATGAGATTATGGAAAGATGGAGACAATACTTCAGCGAACTCCTATCACCAAGACAGCCGAAAGAGAAAACTTTAATGATAGAAGTAGAAGGAGAACATGGACAAGAAAATTATATCCAAATAGAAGAAGTCAAAAAAGTAGTTAATAATACAAAGAGAGGTAAATCGGCTGGTCATGGCAAAATCACTGCTGAAATGTTAAAGACAATGGGACCGAAAAGAGTTGAATTTTTAACCAAAATTATAAACATGGCTTGGAACCGATGTACAGTTTCCGAAGATTGGAGAATTGGCATAATACTACCAATCTTTAAGAAAGGAGACCCAAGTTCTTGTGAAAATTATAAAGGAATTACTCTACTTAGTATCGTCCCAAAATATAAGAAAGCATCTTAGAAAAGAAATTAAGACACATCGTTGAACCACATCTGGATGAAGTACAAAGTGGGTTTAGGAAGTGATACAGTACGCAAGACCATATATTTACGTTGAAACAAATAATTGAGAAAGCTAGAATAAAGAACACAGAAATGTATATAGATTTTCTAGATATTGACCAAGCATTTAACAGAGTGTCCCAGGAAGCAGTTTGGAAAAGTCTGCAAAATAGCAATATTGACCATCAACTAACAGGTGCTATCAGAAGTCTGTATCAAAATAACTAAAGTTAAATAAAAAATAAAAATAAATAAATAAAGAGTTATGTACGTAAGAATAACTTGGAATCAGAGATGTTTGCAATAAACTAGGGTCTAAGACAAGGAGGTATTATGAGCCCCACACTGTTCATATTCATTATTGACGACATAATTAAGGAAACAAAAAGCAAGTATACACAAAGTAAATATCGGGTATAGTAAACTACGACCGGTTGGGCAATGGGGAAAGTTCGTGCACAGAATAGAATAAAAAACAGAAATTCTGTATTTTTATTGGATTTGAGATGTAATGTATATCTGTAACCTGTATTTGGGTAGAGAGGTGTATTTTATTTCTAAAACATTCTCACCATCTTGTGCTAATTAAAAAAATTTTTAGCTTCTTGAATTCGAAGTATTAGGTATTTAATTCTGATTTTAAATTTAATATTAATTAGTAATTTCCACCAATGTTTCGCTTTTTCCGGTCCATTAACCACCCGCAAATGTACAACAATCAATATCTTAAGAGGTATTGTAAGATATTAGAGAAATGGGTCGCTGTAAAGCTAAAATTAATTGCTATATTCAATTTAAACCTGCCATCCATTAATGTTATAAATGTATCTGACGCACGTTCGATAACAACTTTGAAAGTTTATGTCGAAAAGATTTTGAAATACACCACTATTAAAAGCGGAAGATACGTTTCGGTTGGATAGTACAATATCCATTAACTTTTTAATGATGATATCAATCATAGACGCTCCGAGTATATCAAGAATTCCCAAAGAACCGATATTCTTCTTTTGTGGTAATAGGAATATTGATTAGTTTTTAATAACTGTCTTAGTAGAAAATATAAAGTTAAATGGTGGAAACTAAAACTAACATATCCAACAAAACTGATGAGTGGAACAGTAATTTCAAAGGGAATCAGTATACAATATACACTCAATTGGGTCCAAATTACCAGTAACCATAAGTGGTTTACATTATGTTAGTCAAATTTTAGCATCAGCTAAAAGTGATTATAATTTGCTATAAAACCGAGCCCAAGTACATATTTTTTCACCCTTTTTTTCTATTTGATAGTTCAAATATAGGCCCCTTCCATTTTGGTTTCCATTTTAATCATCTAATCCTCGTTAACCAATTGTTAATACAGTCATAACAACTATGAAATAATGTTAATAATTATGCGTATGTACATGACCTTAATTGTACAAAATCTGCTCGTTCAATAACGTCTTTTACTTTTGTTCTGTTTCTAACATATCTCTTTCTAAATACAACCTTATAGGTCAGTGACATTTGTCAAAGATTTAACGAGTACTCTCTTATTGCAATATATTTACAGACAAATGCAAAAAAGAGAGGTAAAACCGAAACAACTCTCCTTGCAAGAATTGGAAAATACTTTGCAAAGAGTAATAAAGAATAGTCAAGAATTATACTACGCAGAAGAGATAAAAAATACTATTGCATATAACGGGTTACAGGTAGACTTCAGAACACCGAATTAACACATAATGAAAAACATCCCTTAATTATACCCTACAAAAACAAATTAACTTA